GGGGTCTGGGTCTGAGGCAGGGGGAGTGCCCTGGGATGGGGGGGTCCTAGGGGGGCCTGGGTCTGAGGCAGGGGGGAGTGTTTACCACATTTCAAAAATTATGCAACAATAAACAAGCTCAACCTTCACATTAAAACAGTGATTCCAAATGTGATATTTTTTACTTATTTCCACTAAAAATGTAGTTGTCTAAAGTTATTGGCATATTTATTTCTTGTCCAATCCTAATCCCAATAAAATGATTATCTTTGCTCGTGGAGCAGTGAGGCTAGGGGGGTCACACAAATTCATTTAGCTTTTTAGGAGGTCGTGATATCACAAAGTTTGAGAACCCCTTACTTAGCCAGTTGGACCCCAGCCTGTAACAATGCTTGGGATTCTTCCGTCCCAAGTGCAGAACTCTACACTTGTCCTTGTAGAACCTCATCAGATTTCTTTTGGCCCAATCCTCTAATCCAGGGGTTCCCAAACTTTTTGACACAGGGACTAGTAAATTCATTCACGAGCTTTTGGAGGACCTGTAACATTCATTTGCATATTTGCATATTCATTAAGCAAATGATGAATATTCAGCTAAGTTGTTTCTGGTCCTCTCAAAGCCCCCAGTGCCAGCATTAGCAAAGCTTTTGATACAGTGACCCACAATATTCTTGCCAGCAAGTTAAGGGAATATGGATTGGATAAAGATGGCTAGAAAGCTGGCTAGATCAGGGTTTCCCAAACTTTTTACTTTAGTTGGAACCCGGTTTTTTTCAGTACTGTTTTTTGCAGCCCCCAAAAAAACACACATATACAAAAAGAATAAAAAACGAATACATTTTCAGTGTTTCACCCGGCTGCATCCTCCGCCAGCCTGGGCCAGGGCTTGGGGGACCCGGCGCTGCATGGGCACTCCAGGAGGTAGGAGCAGGAGCAGACTGGGGGTAGGGTAGCTGTCTACGAGGGAGGGTGCAAGGAAGGGTAGGGTTGCCAGGTGTCCGGTTTTGTACCGGACAATCTGGTATTTGAGGGTTTTGTCTGAGAAACAAATTAAGAAATTACCAGACATATAAAATGTCCAGTATTTTCTAATTAGGTAAGTTTTATTATAATTAGGTGTATCAGTCCTTAGCTGCGAACTGCCTGGCGGGTAGATGTGCTCATGCTGCCTGAGGGTGTCTACCTGCCAGGCAGTTCGCAACTACTCGAGGGAGGGTATGTGGGGGCGGGGGGGGGGGGGGGGTTGTTTCTGGCTACATAGGATTATATTCTTAACAGTTAGGATTATATTTTTAACAGTTCTAAGTTACATTACCTAATACATTATATTCTAAAGGGGCAATAATAATAATAAATCTAAACATTTAACAATCTTAACTAATAATAATAATAAGAATTAATAATAAATCTAAACACTTTAAGTTGTGAGGAACAAATTATGGGGAGTCACTTCCATTTGGGGGAATCATTTTCAATACATTAATATGTTATCCCTACA